GCACGTCTCGACATGATAAACGGGTGGGAGACTTATCAGCCAAAATTTGGTTAGATAAGACAAAAGAGGAATTTGTGCTCATAAATGTAAGTGGAATGTTTGAAATATTCTCGCAAGAGGGGTTTGAAATGAAAATAACCTGTAAACTAAGAGGTCACTCTGAAGCAAGAAATCACAGGCTTGGAAAAGAAACTAAGCAAAGGAAGTGAAGAAAAGCAGAGATGGAGAAACACAAGGTAATCACACACACACACACACACACACACACACACACACACACACACACACATATATATATATATATATATATATATATATATATATATATATATATATATATATATATATACATGCGTGCATAGAGAAGTACACGAATATATGAACAGCACGTACAGAGATCCGCATGTCAGTATGCAGAGATATGCACACGTATGTTGCACGTAGGTCTGCCTATATATGCCTATGAATCCAAACATATATATGTATATATATAAAGGCAAGTGTCGGAATTGGTGTGTATACATATAGAAAAGCATGCAAAAGTCTGGCCAGGACGTGATGTCCACAAAAGTACACTTACATATATATATATATATATATATGGGTGTATATACATACAGAAAAGCATGCAAAAGCCTGACAAGGACGTGATGTCCACAAAAGTACACTTATATATATATATGTGGGGGGGGGGGTATACAAATAGGAAAGCATGCAAAAGTCTGGCAAGGACATGATGTCCCCAAAAGTACGCATATATATATATATATATAGATATATATGTATGTATGTATGTATAAAGGCAAGTGTCGGTATTGGTGTTTATATATATATGCACACGAGTGTGTGAATGTGTTTTAGACTTCTGCGTTGCAACTACAGTTGTTGTTTTCATCAGTTCGACAAGATGAGACAGTGAGTTATATAATAGATACGCATATGTGTAACCTGTCAGACAGGCTACACAGTTAAATTTCATCAGTCCTATTTCGTTATGTCAGTCCACTTTCGTCATGTCAGTACACTTTCGTCATGTTAGTCCACTTTCGTAATGTCAGTCCTCTTTCGTCACTTTCGTAATGTCAATCCTCTTTCGTCATGTCAGTCCACTTTCATAATGTCAGTCCTCTTTTGTCATGTCCATTTTCGTAATGTCAGCCCACTTTCGTAATGTCAGCCCACTTTCGTAATGTCAGTCCACCTTCGTAATGTCCTCGTAAATCCTCGTTCATAAATGTTAGTCTGCTTTCGTGGAAGGTGTCAGCCCATATTTTATGTGAAGATGTGAGGTGACTTTCATAAAGTAAGTGAAAGAGCCTGTTTGGTTTTCGCGAGTTAGGCACACAAAACAATGACTTTGGTAAATTTACTGAAGGTAAATTTACGCATAGAAAAAGCAACTTCCACAAATTTGGTCTTAGTAAGAAATGCTAAAAGTTCAGCTAGGTTCAAAAAGCATAGTTTCAGGGCCATATGTGATCGAAAAACTTAGTTTTGCCTTATTTTATATACGTAAAAAATGGGAAAATGGGCATTATGGGAGGATAAAGTCTGGTTTCGACTCATGGGCCAATCCAAGTCACCCAGGGATGGTGTTATGCAAGGTAAACCGTAAGGATAGCCTACGAGGAACAGGCAGGCGCACGTGTCCAGGTAACCGCCTCCACTACGGAGGATCACTGAGGAAGTGGAAAAGGAATATATGACGTGGTGCTTGTTCCCAAAGCATGCGGTCATATTACGGAAGATCATTGAGGAAGTGGGAAAGGAAAATATGACATGGTGCTTGTTCACGAAGCATGCAATCATATTATGGAAGACCACTAAGGAAGTAGGAAAGGAAGAGAGATCGTGGTACTTGTTCTCCAGGCATGCAATCCTATAAATATGGAGTGGAGCCAAAGAACAAGGTACGTGAAGAGAACCCGAGAGAATCCAAAGAATAGAAACTAATCGACTGACTTGAGCATCAGAGTATCTTTTGCAAGTACCCGCCCAGGCAAGCTGCGGAGGAAGATTATTTTGGGACATCTCGAAGAAGGATTCGGCGAACGTGAGGATTGCGGTCAACAAATCTGTGGAGGTATTTCTTCTTGTAGGAAATCTCACTCCAACAGTAACCTTTGTTTTTCCAGAATTAACTGATGCATGGATAGTTCACTTTGGTTGCTTATGCCGTATCCAATATTTCATTTTCTTTGTTGTTAGAGTTCTGGAACCCGCACATGAAGAATCACCTCGTTATCCCGAAAATGATACTGGATTTCATGCGAATGATGTTGGTTTAGATGAAAAAATTTGGACGTGGTGTGTTGTTTCTGTTATGTTTTTCTTTTTCTTGATGGTTTGAAATCCAATGCAGAGTTTACAACATGGTGTAGATAAACGACTCCAAATCTGAATTTTGTGGTATAAGTGTAGTAGAACATACTTGAGTTAGTATGCTGGTCCGGAATAGAAATAATCGTATTTAGGTTGGAGTTCAGAACCACCGTCAAATGATTTCCAAATCGCCCTTTTGACAATTCTCTTGAATGACATAAAGCCCATGTTTGAATGTCATAAGTTATAATCCACAAGCTTTTTGGTTGTATATATTTTCGAAGGCCGGATGGTGCTTTGGACTTCTGAATTAGAGCGACATGTGCCCGTGCCCGTAGCCGTGCTTATTATGGCTCGAGCCTCTCAAGTTGCTGACCTACAATACTGGATGGGTTTAACAAACTCTTCTGACTACTTTGAAGTTTTAGACTTGCATTCGTTGATCCTTTGATATATTAACGAATGATGATCCTCTATGGATCCTCTTTGTGAGGATCCTGGAGATCTTCAAATCGTGTCCGTTTATCGTACATCATGAGGTTAGAAATCATTTTAAATACTTTTATTTTAAATTAAATATAAATAGTACCTGACGAAAATTGATGACACGGAACGGACATGATTTGAGAATTTTGAGGATCATCATAGAAAGGATAATAAAGAGGATTCTCATGATATATTAACTGCATATCGAGCATAGATATTGACTATGTGGCATGAATCTCAATCACAAATTGAAACATTACTTTTGTTAGGAAAATCTTAACGATATATTAATCCTATATTTCCCTTAAAACGTGACTTTTACGAAAAGTTAAGAAAATGTCACACATCATCTTCTTCAAAAAATAAGAAAAAAATAATAATAAGAAAAGGTCACATATTAGCCATAAAACTTGTTTATTAGTTGGTTGAGATAGGTTGTCATTAATTAAAATATATTTAAGTCTATTACATTGTTTGATGTGTTAAATTGTGAAATAAACATAACTGAACATAATCAATTAGGATTTCACAATAAAGTTAGTTATCTAATTTATCCTTATACATTTGTTACAGGTTCTCCTTCCCAGTCAATCCAATCGATCCCATTTCACTCAACTTACCAAACGGACCCTTAATTTTGGTCGTTGATTTTACTAAATTGTCAAAAACAACCAAAAATTGTTTTCGTTGAAGATGTGCATTTATGAAAATTTGCCCAAACCTCATCGGGAAAAAGGGTCCGATACGCACAACCAATGAGTCATCTTCCTACTGATTAACCGGCAGACGTTGAAGATGATGCGGGCGACGACAGTTTCTTCTTCATTGAATGTTGGTTATGGCATCGCCAGCAGACTGAGAGGTATGTTGCCTGTGCCTTGTTTTCTTCATAAATCTACTCTTTTTCTATTCTTCAACGTTTACTTGGCTCCGTTTCACTCTCGACTTTCTTATCCAACCAAATCTAAAAACACCCAATTGCGTCGGCTTGTCAAAGTCACTAATCTTGACGATGCACTCCATCTGTTCGACGAAATGCTTCAAATGCGTCCTCTGCCTTCCGTCGTCCGTTTCACTCACGTCTTGACTCAAGTCGTCACGTTGAAACATTATTCGGCAGTCATCTCGCTGAATGACCAAATGGAGCTGTCGGGAATTCGTCCTGATGTTTATACTCTAAACATCGTCATTAATTGCTTTTCCCATCTCAACCAAATGGAATTTGGTTTATCTGTCTTGGGAAAATTCTTCAAACTTGGTTTTGAACCTGATGTCACGACCTTCAACACTCTAATCAACGGATTCCTTCTTCAGAATAGAGAGGCTGATGCCATCGGGATTCTGAATAAAATGATGGAGAGTGGTAATTGTAAGCCCAATATGGTTACTTTCGGCACACTAGTAAAGGGTCTGTGCATGAAAGGTAACAATATTGCAGCTATTCAACTACTTAGGAAAATGGAAGAGGGAGGTTGCAAGCCTAACATTGTTTCCTATAACACGATCATCGACAGTCTATGCAAGGATACTATGGTTGTTGATGCTTTGAACCTTTTCTCTGAAATGATGAGTAAATGTATTGACCCCGACATCATTACCTATACTTCTTTGATTCATGGAGTATGCAAATTAGGGGAGTGGAAAGAAGCTGCGAGACTGTTGAATGAAATGGTGAGCAAAGGTATTTTTCCAAATCTGCAAACCTTCAATGTATTGGTAGACACCCTTTGTAAGGAGGGCTTGGTCGGGAAAGCAAAAAACATTGTCAAATTGATGACTCAAAGAGGTATTGAGCCTGACACAGTTACTTATAATTCTCTTATGGATGGTTATTGCTTGCGAGGAGAAATGCGTGAGGCGAAAAAGGTTTTGAAACTAATGCTCAGCAAGGGCTACACAGTTAATGCTTATAGTTACAGCATATTGATAAATGGCTATTGTAAGCATAGAAGGATCGATGAGGCACTGATGCTTTTTGAGGAAATGTCTAGTAGCAGAGTCATTCCGAATGTCGTTACTTACACCACTCTCATGGACGGTTTTTGCAATGTAGGGAGAACACAAGATGCACAAAAGTTGTCTCTCAGATGCAAGCTTGCGGCCATTTTCCAGATGTTCAAACCTATGCTGTTTTATTGGGTGGCCTGTGTAAAAACCAACAATTTCCCGAGGCAATACAATTGTTAAGAGATATGGAAGGTAAGAATTTAGAGCCAGATATTGTGATTTACGCTATTCTTATTGAAGAATTGTGCATTGGTGGGAAAGTTGACTCTGCGAGGGATCTCTTTCGAAATTTATCTTCAAGAGGTGTTCAACCTAATACCAGGACGTATAACATAATGATTGGTGGATTGTGCAACGGAGGGCTAACAAACGAAGCGGTAAAATTACTTAAAGAAATGGAAGAGAAAGGTTGTTCTCCAAATGGTTGGACCTATAACATAATCATTCGAGGCTTTTTCAATAACAATGAGCCATCAGAAGCGATGGGACTTATTCAACAAATGGTGGGGAAGGGTTTTTCTGCAGATGCGTCAACTACGGAATTGATAATTGATTTGTTGTCTACTGATAAAGTAGATCATGCTTTGTTGCCATTGATAGACAGATCGTAATGAAGTTAATTTCTATCTTGTAAAGTTGAAACAGATCCTTCTAATGATTATTGTTAATTCTGAAAGTGTTGCACCTTTCAATCCCATAAATGCATTTTAATAGTATGCATACATTGCAGCTTAAGAAAATTACAGCCCCCTGCTTTTTTTTTTTTTTTTTTTTTTTTTGTTTACGCTCATGTTAGTGGAGGTGCATAGAAAGAATAAAAGGGCGACTCAAGCCAACAACGCTCCCGCTTTGCGAGGTTCACGGGGGGTGAGTACGTCTATCTTATGCAGCCTTACATTTGAGTTGCAAAGAGACTCTTTCCTCGACTTGAACCCGTGACATTTCGGAGGATTGAGTGTAGAAGTGAATGGTCTTAATCATTTAAGACTTGCCTTACTAACAAGAAAAATGATAAAAGCACACCATTTTTCTCATCTTGCACACCCTTGTTTAATCTTGTTCATTATTTCCTATTAACAATGTTATTTTTGTCCAACCGATACGATATTCACTTTAGATATGGAAAAATAAAAGAGAAAATAGAAAGTCTATTATTTTCTTAATGTTTGGATGTATATAGAAAAAATAAGAAACTAAAGGGAAGAAATTATACTTTTGATTATTTTTGTTTCTATGTCAAACTCTATAAACCACATCCAATTAGTAGGGAGTTTGAGAGAATGTTAGGATCACTTGATATCATGGGCTTCTCTTGGGCCCAATTACGGCTTCCATGGGCTGTTGGGCCTCTAAAAGCATCCAAGATAGTCTAACCTATATAAATTTTTGGGCCGAAATAGTTCATGAGTTTCATATAACTCCTCACTTTAATTCTTAAAATTTAAAATCAATAGAATTAGTTTTTGAGTTTGTCCACTATCGATCATTTTGGTCATTCCGTAAAAAATCATTGTTACATAAGAACAAAATAACAAAAATACCCTAAATTTTTGTCAAATGATTAACCCATGATTTATTACAGTGAGGCTATTTTTGTCATTTTGATTCCTATTTAACAGAGATTTTCACATGAGAACTAAAATGATTGACGGTGAACAAATTCAAAAACTATTTCTAATGATTTCACTTCTTAGAGACTAAAGTGCGAAATTATGTCAATCTCAGACAATTTTAGCTAAAATGCCTTCCATACATGTGTTGTACGCATTGTTGCAAGGTTATGAATGAAATGATGAATCTGCTTTAATTTTTTCTAATTTCCTGCATTTTCCCTTTCCCGTAATTTCCCTTTCCGTTATGTTGATTCTCTTATCCCATCAGAGAACCATCTGAAACTGTTGCTCTTGCACTATTTTCTTCTGTTTAAAAACCAAACAAGGGCAAACAATCCATCATGCACAAATTCACTAAACAAAAAACTAAAACACCCGCAGAAGGAAGAGTACGAAAATGAAAACTTTACCGGCTTACATATGGTAAAAGTCTGAAGCGGGATACGCATAAGCCTTCCTCTCACAATCACCGATCATATGAACCACGCGCGATGGATGGCTGTGCGGAGGAAGGTCTACAGAGCCATCTCCCACCAGAACTTTTGCTTCATACGGTGTGCAATATGAATAAGAAATAAACAAGTTACATAAAACCCTTATGAATCTTAAACACACTCAAACCGCGGACCCTTTCTGTACAAAAGGAGAACTCAGAATGCTTCATCAAGTTTAATCAGCAAACCACCACAAAAGAAGTGCTATCAAAGGAGATGCTAAACTCATAGCATATACTATCTCGGAACAGTTACCTACCCTCGGACTTCACCAGCTGTGAGAACACTTTACTCATAGAAACACCTGAAAGATCATCCACACTCGAGACTTCAAATTGCACAGCAGAGTCATTTGTATCGACGTTACTGTAGTTGTTGATTTGTGGGGATAGCTCCCCAATCATATTGGTACTATTTTCTTCAGCGTCGCCTGGAATTTCTGTCTCTTGGAGTTGAAGGGCATACTCTAGATTCCACAACACATCTCCCATGGAGGGCCTGTCAACACCATAGTCAGCCAAGCATTTCTCGGCGGTTTCTCCAAATTTCCTCAGAGAATCTGGTCTGATTTTGCCTGCAAGAGTTGAATCTATGATTTGCTCCAACTGCCCCTTCTTCTGCCATTTCATTGCCCATTCAGCCAAGTTCACCATTTCCCTCGGAAGAGACGGATCTATAACAGGTCTTGCACAAAGAACCTCAAACAAAACCACCCCAAATGAATACACATCTGATTTCTCTGTCAGTTGTTGCCTTCTAAAATATTCAGGATCAAGGTATCCAAAACTCCCTTTAACTGCTGTACTGACATGGGTTTGATCGATTTCAGGCCCCGTCTTAGAAAGCCCAAAATCAGCAACCTTGGCCATGAGGTTCTCATCAAGCAAGATGTTTGCGGATTTCACATCACGATGGATAACTGCTTTTGCATAACCAGTGTGAAGGTAGTGAAGTCCTCTAGCAGATCCAATGCATATTTCAAGCCTTTGTTTCCAACTTAAGCTGGGGTGACCTGAGCCATAGAGATGACCCTTCAGGGTTCCGTTCTCCATATATTCATATATCAGAATCATCTCATTCTTGTCATCACAATACCCAATCAATGAGACAAGATGGCGGTGACGGAACTGAGATAGCATCTCAATTTCAGTCCTGAACTCTGCAAGTCCCTGTTGAGACCGTGGATTTCCCCTCTTGACAGCCACTTTAGTTCCATCGTTCAAGGTTCCCTTGTATACCTTCCCAAAACCACCGATTCCAATAACCCAGCTCTCATCAAAGTTATTCGTAGCCTCCTGTACTACCCCAAAAGGAAAACGATAACTATAGTTAGAAGCAGCACTAGCAGTTGTCCCATATGAGTATTTACTTCCCATGGTGTGAGAATTGGTTCCATTCATGGAAAAGGGACTCCAAGTCTTTGAATGGCCTTGGTCTGCCAGTCTCTTCCTTCTTCTGCACAGAACAAAGAGAACCCCAGCCAATGCCACTGCAATAAATGACCCAACGCTGGCACCCACAATTACTCCAACGTTACTTTTCGAACTTGAATTCGAAAAAGAAACTGAGTTTGTTCCACTGAGGCTGCCTGCTGAGTTGTTCATTTTCATAATCTCGAGCCCATTTAGAATGGCATTGGGATAAGCATTGTTTACAGCAGAAGGGCCAATACTAATACGCAGCTTATTTCTGACAATGGACGCTGTAACAATGTCCAGATAATATGGCACAGCCAACTTATTAATTGTCATAGTACTCAGATCAAGATCTGGAGCAACATTGGAAGAGTCAACATAAACATTGAAGTACAGCTGATTGAGAGATTTACTTACTACATCGCAAAAGTGAAATCGAACAAGGTATTGGAATCCTGGATCCACCGTGAACTCCCAGGTAACATTGAAATTGCTGTTTGGATTATCTGCCGAGTTCATCTCAGTAAGGGTTCCATAGACAGTTTGTGGAGCAATGTCTTCAGTTGCCAAACCAACATCATACTTAACAGCAGCAATGTTCGAAAAATCTTTTGCAAGGTTCTCATTTACTAGAAAACTTTGGTCAGGAACCCAAGTTCGCCACAGGGTATCATTCTCAAAAGACACTATTGGTCCACCCATATTCACCCTCCAAGCTGTCTCCAGAGCCTGATTCATCAAACCCTGGAATTTCTCTGACCCAGAGCTGACATCATCAGTGATGAGTTGGTCGGGGACTGAAACAACTTCTATAGCATTTAGGAATGCAAACGAGTTGCTGGAAGGGGTGAAGGTGATAACAAGGCTATCTGAAGTCACGTTCACCGAAAATTCTTTAAGAGTAGTGTTTTGAACACTGAAATCAGTAAGGAGGGCAAAGTTTTGGGCGGAAATGGAGAACTTCGCCTTGCTCAGATCATAACTACCGAAAACAAACGGATAGAAGTAAAGGCGGATCCAATGCCTACCGCTATGGCTTATGGAAAAGGTGTACTTAGAGGATTCGGGGAAGATTCGTGCTGTCTGATACAGCGGCGAATCATCAAAGGAAGTGATTGGTTTCAAAGAAACATTGGCAACAACGTCTTTTGGGGATGAAAGATATTTGGAAGCCAAGTTATCAGCTAGAAAAACACGGTTACCCACTGTAGTATTGGCAAGTGATCCACAGTCTATAAGGTAATTGTCAGCAGGAACAAATCCACTACACAACAATCCCAAACACAATAGGGATAAAACCCAAATGAACAGATCAAATTTAAAACAACCCATCATCCAAAAGTTGGGAAATTTATTGAGGAACCCAAGAAATTAGGGTTTCTTGAGATCAATTGGGACCAAAAAAATCTGGGTTTTACACAGGAACTCTACTGATCAATCAGAAACAGAAATTTAATGAAAACCCAGAAACAGAATTGATTGGAGAAGTGAAAAGATGTCACCTTTGAGATCAACTGAGCTCCAAAACAAATCTGATGCACTCTTTGTGGTTTCAGTAGCAGTTTTTTTCTCACTTTCTCTCTCTAAAGTTATGGAAAATTGCAAATAAGAGGAAGAGCAGTTAAGATTGTATGCAAATCTTGCAAAACACAAGCTGGTTTGAAGTAGATGACAAACTAGATGGATACCGACAGGTTCAAAGATTCTTTTAGGCATTAAACTATCCACGAAACTGCACCAAACAAAATGGGAAACGGAGTCAGATGTGCAAAGAGATGAGTTTAAAACTAATAAATAAAGGAGTGTGTTATCCACACATCTTATTTTACATTTCACATATCTTTAATAATTTTTATTCATTAATTTTCTTTAATTCATCTGATCCGACGGCCGAAAATTAAAAAGATGTGTGAGAAATAAAATAGGATGTATGAATATCACACCCCTAAATAAATAAGTAATTAATTAATTAATTAAAAACCGGCAAATTTCAAAAGAGCTAAGGCCATCACCAACCGAACGAGGGATAGATGGCTCGTTTTAGCCCTCTGACCTTCCAAGATATTAATATTATAATCAACTGTACAAG